AATAAAAAAAAATAAAAACTCACAGAAATTCCAATTGCTTTTTTTTTTAAAAAAGGAAAAAAAAAAAAGGGGTGGGGGGGGGGCGAGCAGGACAGGCCGCCCCCAAAGTCTGTGCATGGCTGACAAGCATGCAATTCAACGCTGGGGCTTCCCAGCTATTGCTCATCGCTCTGTGCCCTCTTCACGTTGCTAGTCCTCAGCGTTTGGAGGTTTCTAGTTTTCAGCATGGGCCTGCTGGCGTTTGCCACACACCCCGTGCCATCAGCCAGGGTTCCCCCCCTCCTCCCCCCCTTGCGGGCCCCGATTTGATTGGTCTTCTGACTCTATATTTATTTTGAGAAAGCGGATCCATGGGGAGGGGGCTGGGGGTCTCTTTCTGCCTGTGCCCCAGGGCGCCTTTTCGTTCTGCCCCCTCCAGAAAGCTCCCGCCCGGCTCTGCTGACGTGGCACCACCAGACCCAGCCACTGGAGCGTGACGGGTTTAGCTTTTCCACTTCATTGACCATTGTGACAGGCTTGCCAGCGAAGTCTAAATATAGGTGCCGTTCAGGAGCTCGGAAGAAACGCAGCATATTTTACTGATGAATTTTTTTGCAAAAAGGCTGGCAGGGAAAGGGAGACGGGGGCCGCCGCCTTGGCACAAGTGCTCCCTCTTTCAAGCTGGGCCTGGCCGGACGGAGAGGAAGCTGGCGCCGGGGGCGCTGGGCGTTGCCGTCCCAGGCTGGCCCAAGCGTGCCCGCTTTGCTTCTCAGAGCCCTGCTGTGTGGGCAGGGAGCAAAGTCAGGCCTGCGTAGTTTCAGCTCTTGGGGGAAGCCGAGCGGAAGAGGCGACGCTGCCTCCCGGAAACCTTTGAGAAACGTCCGCGTGTCTTTTCTTCCCTTTTTCGGATCACGACTGTGATATTTATTTTGGGAAGCCTGGCACCCTGCCCTCTGCGCACGGTAAACCCGGGAGCCGAGCCGGCCTTAAATGCGGGGCAAGGTCTGAGCAATCGAATCAGGCACCCGTCGGGGCTGGAGAAACAGCTTATGACAAGTCGCTGCCCCCTGTGCCAACGAAGAAATGGCATCGGTCTATGCTCAGAGGCCCGGAGCGCTCTTACTCACGGCGTCCTTGGGGCTCTCTGAGCTTGGGGGTGGGCTGGCAGACGCTTCATGACCCAGCTAGGGAACACCACCAGGGCTAGGGAGTGTGGGGTTTGCTCCCTAACTCCCTAGCCCTGATGATGTTCCCTAGTCGGGTCAGGAAACGTCTGCCAGCCCACCCCCAAGCTCAGAGAGCCCCAAGGACCCCACAGCTCAACCCTGAGCTACCGATCTTCTCTTTTATCGGCGCTCTTAATCAGCCGACATTCCGGGAGGGAAACAGGCACTCCAGAGTTGTGGGGGTTTAGCAGCCCGGCTTCCCCATCAGGGTCTCCCGAGTTGCAAAGTCGTCGTGGCAAAGTGCCCCAGCTCAGCACCGCGCCTTTTCTCCCCGCATTGCATTTTACACCCTGCCACTAGCATTAGCGTATGTCACTCAATAATCAAGACCCAAGGCGCCTTTCTATTTGATGCATGTGCGCTCGACGGTGAATATAAATGCGCCCTGTAAATATCACAGCAATTTATATTCAGGATAGGTGCAATCATCTTTATCGCAACATAATTTTAACCCCCAATGCCCAGTTTGGCTTGATTTGGGGGGTTTTATTTTATTTTATTTTATTTTATTTTATTTTATTTTATTTTCTTCTTCTTAGCAGGTCTTACAAACAGGACGGGGCCTCTGTTTCGGGTTTCCTGGCCCCGACAGGGTCTTCGTTGAAGTGTCGTTTTTTTTCAGCGCCTGACCCTGTTTTCAGTCTCTTTGACCTGCCTTCACACATCCTCTGTTTCTGCTTGCGGTTTGTGGTAGGGTTGGTGGTCGCCGTTCAGACATAACTTGGGGGCCACAAGCTGCTGAAAGGCGGGGGAGAAAAGATTGGGGAAATATCGACAAATCGGAGCACCCCAGGGCCGACGTTTCCCGACAGCGGGGTCAAAGAAGTTTCTGGATGAGATTTCGAGGATTAAGCAGCATCCGGGGAAATGGGACCACGACATTGGTCTCCAACCAACCTCCCTTTCAGCCAAAGAGCCCTTGTTCCTTTTTAAAAAAACAAAACTGGAAAGGTCATTAAAAACATGGTGCCTTGGAATCATGGCTTAGGTTTGATCAGGCTGGAGGAACAAAGTTTGGTTTGTCAACATTCAGCCTATAAATTAACAAGGCAGCTTTCTGGACCAGTGCAAAATTCCTCTTTTTCCCCCAGCCTGGTGCTCTCCGGATCCCACCCTGCAATGGGCATGTTTAAAAGTGATGGGAGATGTAGTCAATAATGCTGGAGGGAGGACTATCATAATTGTATACAGGTTTAAAGTTAGCAACTCCCCTCCATGTTTCTTCCCTCCCACCTAAGCTCACCAGGGGTGAGCTGGGAGCACAGCTGGAGGCAGCCGCCAGCTGTCGGTGGTTACCCAAGAGGTGATCCATTAAGGTAGACTGCCTCTGAACGCAGAGCTCTTTTGATTGAATGTTAGCGGCTTCTTTTCCCACTGGATGCCAATTTAGGGGTCTTCCCTTTCAGGCAGGAATGAGAGCTTCTGGAGAAAAAGGAAGGCCCAGCCCGGCCTCTCCAGTTGGGATTCAGGGCGATCACAATCTGCCCAGGTGACTGATTCACAAAGAGGCCTGGGCGTTGCCAACCTCCAGATTTGGCTGTAAATGGCACAGGGAGGGGATGTCTTTGGTGAGCCACGTTTAAACCCATCCGTTTTCTTTCCCAGGATGTGCCTTCCTGACTTACTGCGCCCGTGAGTCAGCCCTCAAGGCCCAAAGCGCGCTGCACGAGCAGAAGACGCTGCCAGGGGTAAGTCCTCTCCATCGCTCCTCTGCCCGTCCGCTCGGCCTCGCCACCCTCGTCCTCATCCCCCGTTGCAACCGCGTTTCGCCCGCTGCTCTCCTCCAGCTTCCGGAAACGGGAGCTGGCACCCCAGATGGCTTCGGCACTGGCTACGATGCCAGGCAAACACCGTGCGTGTATGTGTGCGTGGTTCCCACTTACGTCCGTCCTGTTGGCAGATCTGGCGCCATGGCGCTTCGTTGGCAGGAAGCAAGATTTCTCCTCTGGGCTATTTGAGCGCTAAGAGAGATGTTGGATGTGTTCAAGGACAGCTCCATTTGAATTCCCTTGCACCCAGTTGCACCCGGGATATTTTCTGGGCCTCGTTGTGGACGGGGGGTATTTAGTCGAATGCATATAACCGTCTCAATAAATCAGTCACCTTGCTAAGCCATCTGGGGGCAGATTCCAAGGGTTGTAGTCAAGAGCCAGGAATCTAAGTTTGTGCCTCTCGGCCCAGCACTCGGGAGGAGTCTAAACTTAGAGTCTAACAACGTTCACCCACCTTGCGGGTGTCAGAAGTGAAATTAGCACTCCCAAGTCCGTACGGAGGACCTGAATCCAGGAATCAGTGTTCAAATCTGGGAATAAAAGTCCTGCAGGGGGCTGTTCATAAGGTAGTCTGCCTGCCCTGGTGGTTTGAACATCCCCAGGGCCCCATCTGCAGGAAAGGCAATACAGTTTTTAAAGTTATTGCACGTCTGCAGAAAGTTATCCTATAGTTATTCCTCAGTAGAACAAGCAGCTTATCCAAAGCAAACGTGGCGCACGAACGACCACCCCAAGCGCAGGATCTAACATGCTGAGATCCTTGCGTTTTCACTTTAAAAAAAAGTCAAGTTTCTAGTCCTCACCGCTGCACGTGGAGCAAAGCCTGACGCCGCAAGGCAAGCGGAGGGGGAAATCCTCCCTGCTCAGGCGTAAAGCAGATTTGCTTCTTGCCCAAGGCATTAACTCTTGACCTAACCTCGTTGGCTAGGCTGCAGTTGAGGATAAAACAGGAGAAAAGATATGAGTTGTCCTGAGCTCTCGGGAGAAAGGGTTGGTGGTAAATAGGATTACGAAATCGGATCAGCGTTGGCCCTGCTCGGTGAAATCAAAGAGGTCAGAAGACCCAGGAGGGTGGTTGGCATCAATCTTGGCAGAGGGGAAGGGCTGGGCAGAGGAAGAACACAGGAGACCTCCAAGTTGGCTTATGAACAAGCAAAACCCAGGTTTAATCCTTGCAAGAGGCATGGGAAAACAGCCCGCATCGTCCCAGGGAGGCGTTCGCCCCTGCAGATGTGGCAAAGGGTGTATTTTTATTATTTGGGGGGTGGAGGGTTGAGGGCCCCCGGAGCGCTTTGGCCAAAGAAGCAGATGTTCCTCTCTTTGTGGGGTTCGGGGTGACGCGGCTCCCTTCCTCCCTTCGCCCACCTGCCCTCCTGGGCGAGGCCTCCGTTCGGTTCGCTCGGGTTTCCTGCCAGCTATTTGCCCAAGGCGGGACCGTGAAAAGGAGCAGGTGTCGCGCCAGCTGTCCCAGAGCTGCAAGCCCTACCTTGCCCCCTGGCGCAGCCTCGTGCAAAGCCCTCGTGTCGGGCTTGAAATTCGCCCTCGGCTGCCTGCCAGGGGGGTGGGGAGACCCTGCCTGCCAAGGGAAAATCACAGCCCAGGTTTCCTTCTGCTCCTCCTTTTCAAAGCCATCTTAGGGGAGCCAGAGGCACCCCCAGAGATGCACCCCACACACAGTCCTTTTTCCCCACTGGTCCTCGGGGAGTTTGCCAGCCGCACAGCCAGCCTGGTATCTCCTCTTATTCCCCTCCCCAGCCTCTGGAGGTAGACTGCTTCTACACCTGGGGGCTCCACTAAGTGGCAGATAGCCATTGATTGCGTTCTCTATGAATT